AAGAATGGAAGACGTACACTTAATTTATGATAGCCTGATAGTCGAGACTACTTGTATTAATTAGTACTCTAAAGCGAAGGTTGGTCGGAAAGTTATATGCTGGAGTCGCCCCGTAATAAAATTTCTATTATTATTGTTATGTTTGAACCACATCATTTTTGAAGAATGTATTTTGGAATAGTAGATTGATGGAGAATGTGTGGTTAAAAAAAAGGAAAAGTTATTGATGTGATGGAAAATATTATTTTATTAAAGAAAGTATGGTTAAAAATGACTAGAATAATGAAAATGAAATTTTTTTTGTGTTTCCACTATTTATTTAATTTTTTTTTCATTTAGGTATTAATTTTTTTTTAATTTATCAGTTTGGGATGGGTTAAGTTGAGTTTAAATTCATAATCCGAGATCCAACCCAATGTCAAATTTAATGGGAAAAAATTCATAATTCAGATGTATGGTTTACACCAATTCAAAAGTCAGGTAGATAATTTAACAATTCAAAACTCAGGTATTATGTAATTAATTAAAAATATTTATTAATTAGGTTACAATTATATATTTAATGGTTACATATACATAATTATAGGTCACAGTTTATTTATTGGTCACATATTATTAAATTAATTAGTCACAGATGATTTCGATGTCACAAATTCAAAAATTTATAGGTCATAATTAATTTCATTGGTCACATATTTTCAAATTTATTGGTCACAGATTATTTTTCAATCACATATTGTCAAATTTTTAGGTCATGGATAACCAAATACTTGGTCACATACCACTGGCACTACCACTTCAGCCACAAATTGGTCACAGATCAAAATTTATAGGTCACACAATCACAAATTTCCAAATTAATTGGTCACAGATTTTTTTTACGGTCATGGATAAAAAATGGTTAATTTCATTGGTCACATATTTTCAAATTTGTTAGTCACATATTATTTTTCAATCACATATTGTCAAATTTTTATGTCACAATTAAATACTTGATCACAGATAACCAAATACTTAGTCACAGACCACTGACACTATCAGTTCCACCACCAACCACCGCCACAGCCACTAACCACCTCCAACAATAACAACACACCACCACCTCCTCCTCCTTACTAACAAATCACAATTTTCACTACAAAATCACATCCACAGCCGCCGTCACCACCACACAAAACACCACACATGGCCGTAACCACATCCACGGCCGCCACCACCATCACACCACACCACACCACACAAAACACCACACCACTCCCACCTCCAGATCCACCTTGTATCAGTCGTCCAGCATCGCGACGCTGTCACTGCATCAATTGGCACAGCGACGAGCATCGCGACGCTGCCATTCACGACAGCATCACACCATTCATAGAGAGAGAGGATAGAGAGAGGGGAGGTGAAGACGAGAGGCGAGAGAGATGGGAGGGGAAGACGACGAAGGAAAAAGTGCAGCGACGTGGTGGATTTGCTTCGCGGTGGCGCGATGGATCTGCTTCTGTGTCATCTCCTCTTTATTGCAGCAGCATCGAGGCGCTACGTCGACGCTATGACACCGAACCGACGACGGAGAGAGGGGATGGGAGATTTACAGAAAGAGGGGAGAGGAGGCGCGAGGGAGAGAAGTGAGGGAGTTGAGAGTGATAAATTAGGGTTAGAGTATTAATATATTACCTGATTTTTGAATAATGATATTTGGTCCCTACTTTTTGAATTTTAATTTTCAAACACTTGAATTTAATAATTAATTTCATTGGTCACATATATTCAAATTTGTTAGTCACATATTATTTTTCAATCACATATTGTCAAATTTTTATGTCACAATTAAATACTTGGTCACAGATAATCAAATACTTAGTCACAGACCACTGACACTATCAGTTCCACCACCAACCACCGCCACAGCCACTAACCACCTCCAACAATAACAACACACCACCACCACCTCCTCCTCCTTACTAACAAAATCACAATTTTCACTACAAAATCACATCCACAGCTGCCGTCACCAACACACAAAACACCACACATGGCCGTAACCACATCCACGGCCGCCACCACCATCACACTACACTACACTACACCACACCACACAAAACACCACACCACTCCCACCTCCAGATCCACCTTGTATCAGTCGTCCAGCATCGCGACGCTGTCACTGCATCAATTGGCACAGCGTCGAGCATCGCGATGCTGCCATTTACGACAGCATCACACCATTCATAGAGAGAGAGGATAGAGAGAGGGGAGGTGAAGACGAGAGGCGAGAGAGATGGGAGGGGAAGACGACGAAGGAAAAAGTGCGGCGACGTGGTGGATTTGCTTCGCGGTGGCGCGATGGATCTGCTTCTGTGTCATCTCCTCTTTATTGCAGCAGCATCGAGGCGCTACGTCGACGCTACGACACCGAACCGACGACGGAGAGAGGGGATGGGAGATTTACAGAAAGAGGGGAGAGGAGGCGCGAGAGAGAGAAGTGAGGGAGTTGAGAGTGATAAATTAGGGTTAGGGTATTAATATATTACCTGATTTTTGAATAAATAAACTTTGGATCTGATTTTTAAAAAGCTATCTTTAAACCCCTCATTTTTTTATAATTTCCCAATTTAATTTTTCAATCCAACCCAACACGATTGAACTTAAAACATAATCCAACATGATCAATTCGGGTTGTGTTGGGTTGCTCGATTTGAGTTGGATTGATTTTTGCTCAGACCTAATAACATATATTAAGGAGTATTTGCAATAATTGAGGTCAAAAATTGAGATGAAAAGCCGTCGAAGCCTGCAACTTGGCATGGTCCAGGAGACAAATTGTTGGACAGAATAGCGTTTAAAACACGTTTGAAATATGGGAAATGTCAAACTCAAATGAGGTCATTGCGAACCTAATAAAGTGGAATCATTCTCTTTAATTAGGACATATTTTCTACTTGATAAAGACATGTTTGGTCTGATCATCACCAAACACTTTCACATTTTCCACCTTTTTAATGCAAATTTTTGGTCATTGCTTTCGATGACAAATGACCAAATGCTAAATTTGGTAAGACTGATCACAACCACGACTCTGAATTCGATCTCAATATAGCAGGGGTCAAGGTCAGTGAATGTATCGATTATTTGAAGAATTGGCTCTCTTCGACTAGAAACACAAGGAAATCAAATAAAAAAAGACGGGTTGCTTTCTCAATCAAAGCTTTTTTCAACTTCGTCCTCGAGGCTATGGTATATGAGGTTGTGACGTCTCCCTTCATAGGGGTATGCGTCACTAGAAATCAAGCTTGAACCTCCTTGAATTATGAGTTCATTACATTCTTTTTCGCAAAAATAAAATTGGATAATTTTTGCTTGTGATAGAATTTCGACGGATAATATTTTATCACAAATTTGTAGAAGTTAAAACAGTTATACCCAATTCAGCTTAGCCACAGACAAATTATATACTAATTAATAGTTAATAACATATCAAATCAATTGCCGAAAAACATCAGCTAATGAAAACCCGAAGAACATTCAGGAAACGACATCGTAACACACTCCCTCACCTCACAGGCTATCACGTTCCTCATCGCATCCCAAAATCCCGTCGGAAAAGTATCATTCCGCCTCTCCGCCACCACATCTCCGTCCAACCCCGGCGGCGCCAAGGACAATGTCGTCATCGGATCATAATCTTCATCAAAATCATTACTCACAGGACACACTCCAGACCCAGAAGCTACATTTTTTGTACCATCAATTGATTTCTCTAGCACTTGTTTTTGCAGGAATTTTCGTTTCAATGTCGAGTTCCAATGATTCTTCACCGCATTATCAGTCCGGCCGGGGAGCAACCGCGCAATGGTGGCCCATCTGTTTCCGTACTTCGCATGCGCCTCCAAGATAGTCTCATCCTCCGCCGTGGAAAACGGGCGGTGCTCCACCGTTGGACTGAGCTGGTTGCACCACCTCAGCCTACAAGATTTTCCCGACCGACCCTTTATGTACTTGCTGATCAATGACCAGTTTCGGGCTCCGTATCGCTCCACCATCCGAGTCAGGATCTTATCTTCCTCCGCACTCCACGGCCCTTTTATTCTCTCCGATTTGTGGAAATTTCTCGGAGTCTTACTGCCCGACAAAGAAGATTCCGAAGAAGAGGAGTCCGAGGAAGTAGTAACAGATGAACACCTATAAAATGGATCCATTTCTTAAAAGTTGGGAAATTTTCTTGAATCAATATTTATCAATAGAAAAAAAAATTGAAACTTCGTAATTTGAAATTTGGCCTTGAGAGCGTTATGCAAGTGAGGATTAGAAGTACGAAGATCGAGGGATTATATAAGCACTCGAGAAATAATTTGATAGGTCCATGCACTTCGGCTAGGGTCCCTTTTTGTGGGGTGAGTTCTTGGAAATTGCCTTGTGTAAAGTTGGTTTGGATGTGGCTCTTTTTGTGTAAAGTTGGTTTGGGGTGTGGCTCTTTTTATGTTATGTTACTAAAGTTATTATTCTAAATAATTCGCCTAAAGTTTCGTTTGAGTTTGAGGTTTGATACTGTCGTCTGATCATATTTTACTTTATTTTTTTTTTCAAATTTGGAATTCCACATTAATCGACTAACCTTATTAAGAGCATCTCGAAACCTTATAAGCAAAATTATATTTCAGTATTTATAATTCGTTTGAGCAGACCAATTTTAAAATTTCGGGTACTCGTTTGAGTCTTTAAAGTTTAATGAACATTTGATATCATATTAAAATTTGAGACTTGTAAAAACTTGAACTATTACCTTTACTGTCTACCACTCTTTAAGAAAAGTAAGAAAAAGTGTGAAGTTGCATCCCAAATTGCTATTCAAATTTCTTATCTGAATATTTGTCGACACTGGTTCTGTTTTGTTATTATTAGTGAAATGACATATTTGGATAGTGCAAGACATAGATGGACTTTGAGCTAAAATAAAAGATACATTGAATTGGGTGTATAAGTTTGATGTGTACTGATTTGTCTCATAGTTAAGGTTCAAAGATTAATCATTGATGGATTTAAGATCCTTGTCCTCTCCCCGTACAACATTCAAGGAATATTTTCACTGCAAATTGATTTGGGTTCTTTGTATTGAGAACAAACTTTATAAACAAGCCTAAATAGATTGAAGGATCCTCGTAATAGAGTAACGCTATTTATTATCATGCCCCTGTCTCGATATCATTATTCTCAAAATTCATTTTTTTGAACACTAATTTTCAACAACACATTCTTTCATAAAATAATTTTACACGCAAATTCAAAACTTTTCCATATTTTTCAACCACATATTCTCCAACTTTTTACTATTCCAAAATGCATTTTCTTGCATGATGATGAATTATCGGTAATGTGTCAATTCATTATTACTCATATCTCTCTCTCATCTACCTCCCTCTTTTATATAAATTGAATTGTCCAATCCCATTATTTCACATAAATTGCTACATCGCCGATGATCTATAATCATGATAATAAATAACATTATTCTTATGTTATTGCATTATGTTAACATTTTCGTAACGCTCTCATAATCTACTTAGCGTGTGTTCGATCAATATATTTATAAATGTATATTGGATCGCTTAATTTAGCTAGAAGTTTCGAGTAATGAAAATGATATAATTATTGTTCGAGTAATATTATTCATTATTAGTTGTGATGAACATAAGTTCGCATGCAGAAATTGAATTGCACTGCATTGAATCAGATCAAGCGAGCATTCGATTTTGAAAAATTCTACTTGTACATAAGGGGCTACACCCCCCTCACATGGGGGATGGGACCCACTGCATAAAATATTTTTTTATTTAAGCGGGTCCCACCCCTATGTGAGGAGGATGTACACCCCAATGTACATTGTGATGTACAAATAGTAAAACCGTTCTATTTTACAATTTATGAACAATTTAGAGTGAATCAGTATTCCACATCGAACACCTTGGAACATGCTTCGTGTTGTGATCAATTCGATTTGTCTTGCATTTAAAATAAATCAAAATTTTCTTTTAAAAAAGAAAAATCCAAACCAATCCCTGTTGCTGACATAGATCTATCATTTTCGTGTCACATCCCACAGTTTTCTACAATTTAAAACATGCAAAAAAAAACATTACATCCACTACCAAATTTGGATGACTATTTGAGCATAGGGCAAAAGGTACAACGCCAACCATGCACGCGGAATTGGAGTACAATTAATATTGGCAGACATCCAAAATAAACGAACGAATTGAACGTGTTGGAAAGGAACATTGTGGGGGCCCTCTTGATTGGGTTAATCCATTTGTACATAGGATCATCTACACTCACAAAATGTTTTACCTAATTTTTTACAAACTGGACACTTGGCGCCCCTGTTGGAGGTGGCATTGTGGGGGCCCTCTTGATTGGGTTAATCCATTTGTACATAGGATCATGCTACACTCACAAAATGTTTTACCTAATTTTTTAC